CCAAGAACAAGTGGCTCAATAGGTCATGGGGCTTAGGAGAGAAACTGTTACTAATATTCTACTAAATGGACATAATAGTAAAATGACTCCTAATGACTTATTGCTATACCCATGGATTAGTGTATCTCTCAGTCCTCATCAGGGAAGTGTCTTCTTGCAGTAAAGGAAATTATCATAGGAACCCATAATTGGTCAGTGTCTAGACTAAGACCCTTCAGAATCCTCTGCCCTAAAAGAGACATTTGTACCAACTCCTCCTCCTAGGCTCAGGGAACTTCAAGGAAGAAGGGGTGGAAAGATTGCAAGAGCTATAATGATGGAAGCCTGCAAGGAAACTTTTCCAGATGGTAAGGCAAATACACATGTGAACTTACAACAGTTGTAAAAGCATGACCAAGACATGTTCAAGCTCAACTAGAAAAACCCCCATCATGGATAGTGGGAGGTTGGTATTAACTCCACCCCTGGCTGTGGAACTGTTGGAATTTGGTAGCTGGTGGGAGAAGTCAGTTTCTTTGAATGAACAACCCAGGACATGTTCAACACCCAAAAGTATTTGGTCAACACCTATTTAACACAATGAGAAAAAAATAACAGGGAGAGAAGTGAGTATGGATTTAGGAGGAGTGGGAAAGCTGGTATGATCAAAATATACTGTATGAAGTTCTCTAAACTTAATAAAGCATTTTAAAAAGAGAACATTTATGTCTAGAAACATCTCCCTGTAGTTCCAGCTGGTTTGTAATTCCCTTTGTAGACCAGGCTGACCTCAATTTCACAGAGTTCTGTCTGCCCCTACCTCTCAACTGCTGGAATTAAAGGCATGTGCCATTATCACTGGTGAAACTTTTACATTTAATCTGCAAGCTTTTATGGAAGAATACTAAATATTTGTGAATATCTGTAGTATCTGTTCTTTTAAAAATATTTTTTTTGCTGATTGCAATTGTTCTTTTACAGTTTCACCCATGTATAATGCATCACTGTCATCCACTACCCTGTCTCCTCTCCCTACTATACCTGCCTATCTTCCTTCCTACAGCTCACTTTCTTGTGTTGTTGTCTATTCATTTTGCTTAGTGATCCACCAAGTTTAACCAGGGATGTCTGTGTCATCATGGGTTTGTAGCTGTGTGTTGGAGCTTGGTGGGCTCAGCAGTGCATAAAACCTAAAGGCGATGACTCTCTGTCTCCCAGAATCTATGAATAGCCAATAGTTTAGCCCCGTAAGCCCTTCCTTCTTCCATGAAAGACTGGTGACAGGCCAATCTTGTGCAGTCCCAGTGGAGGGAGCCATAGATACTTTGAATTCATAATTTCTATGGCTGTCTTGTATAGAGCAAGGCATTTTGCAGCTGTTCACCATGGCTTTTTGTCTCTTAGGCTTTTCCTACTTCCAATTCTGAAATCTTCCCTGAGCACTTATAGAGAGTCATGTAAAAATCTGTTTAGTCCTGAGCTCTCTTTCGTTCTCAGCACCTAGGCAGCCAGGAGTTTCTGCATTCACTGACATTCCCCTCAGAGTGAGGTGGGGGGGTGAAAGGAAGGCAGTAAGTGATCCTGTCTGTCCCAGCCATACTTCTCTCTGCCCTTGACCCTGCTTGTAGCCACTTACAGCTCTCACTACTCTTCTCAGAGAATGGGGAGCTAGCTATAAAGGTAGCTGGTTTCTATTTCCCTGTGTGTTGTGAAGTTCCCACCACATAGACCAGAGCCTTCATATCTATGTCCAAGACACAACCAGATCCACAATGAGCCATCAATACAAAGCCTACAGTCTGGCCTGAAATCCTTGTACGAACCTTACAGAAATCTATATATCTGGGTTCCTGAATTCTACCAACTTTCTGTCATTAGTGTATGCCAATTTTAATTTAAAATCTAACAGTGGTGGAGCAAGCCAGTTAGCTGTCCTCCTCCATGGCTTCAGCTCCTGCCTCCAGATTCCTGTCCCGAGGTCTTGCCTTGGGCTCTCTCAGTGATTAACTGTGACCCAGGTGATGTAAGATAAAATAAACCTTATTCCCCCGCCGCCAAGTTGGTATTGGTCAAAGTGTTTTGTCATGACAATGTAGAAACAAACTAGAACAGAAATTGGTACCAGAGAGTCGGTACCAATTTGTGGAAGTGTTTGGAACTTTGGGCTGGAAAAGCCATTGAGTGTTAGAGTCGCATTGCTGTGATAGACCTGACCTTGGTGTTTTTAGGAAGATTGTGGAAGTGTTTGGAACTTTGGGCTGGAAAAGCCATTGAGTGTTAGAGTTTGTTGCTGTGGAGCTTGGAACAGTTATGTTGAAAGAGTTGTTGAATATGGAGACGTGGCGTGTGAAGATTCAAGGGGAAGCAGAGATTATCAGGGCTGTTTGTGGAATATTTTGAATTGAGAATCTGTGGTTTCTGGTTGGCTGGGGCTGAAGAATCAGCTGTGATTAAGAAGAGACCAGAACCACTGAAGTGAAACATTTGCTTTACTGGGACAACTGATGGTTAGCTGGGGTTAAAAAATCAGCTGTAAGTAATAAGAGACTAGCATCACTCTGACAAAATATGGGAAGTATTTCCTCATGTTCAGCACAGAAGCTATGGTACAGAGGGGCCTCAAGCCACCATCTCAAGATGGAAGCAGGACTTGGTAATGTGTAAGAGTCTCCTGCATAGTTCTTCTGTTGAAAGCATGAAGGGGTCACAGAGAGCAGCTGAGGTTTGTCACCCTGAGAGGCCAAGAAAGGCCATTGGTGAAAGCGCAGCCTCAGATGCAGTGAAGACCCCAGGATTGAAGGGGTTATGGAGAGAATCTGAGGCTTTTCACCCCTAGAGGGCAGAAGAGGCCCTTGATGAAGGCACAGCCTCAATTTCAGTAGAGACCCCAGCTTCTTAGAGATTGTAGGACAATGGGATGACCACCAAGGCCAGCAGCAGGTGTGGAATGGAGCCTGTCTGGGTCTGTGAGATGAACTGTGTGTGCTGTGGAAGGTACAGTGAGAGAAGTGAAGCTTTCCAAATCTTTGGAGCCCAGAAGGTAGTGAATCCCAGATGTCCAGCCTTGAGCTACTTTGCTGGACTTACGTTTTGCTTAGGTGTGTCCAATTCTTCCCTTTTGAAATAAGACAGTAATTGTTTTGGATTTTACAGGAGTCCACAGTTAAGAGACTTTTAAAAGGGACTATGGACTATCAGGTGTTTGGATTTTTTAAGGACTGTGGGGCTTTTAACGTTGTATTGTCTTATGTTGGGATATTAACATCATATCTCGGGGACAAGAATTGGAAAGGTTATGGTTTAATAGTGGTGTGTTCATGTGTCAAGCTGACAAGGGGTCAATTGTTCTGGAGAGGTTTAGTGTTGACTTGGCACACCTGGGTTGAGGAAGCCTCAGTTGGGGAATTGCCTCCACAGGACTGGCCTGTGGCCATGTCTGTGGGGCATCTTCTTGATTGTTGAATGATGTGGGAGGGCCCAGCCCACGTGGGTGGTGCCACCCCTGGGCAGGTGGGCCTGCGTTGTATAAAGAAGTAAGCTGAGCAGGGACCAGGGGAGCAAGCTAGTAAGCAGCATTCTTCCATGGCCTGTGCTCCAGCTCCTGCCTCCAGGTTCCTGCCCTGAGTTCCTACCTTGGGCTCCCTGACTAACTGTAACCAGGGAGATATAACCTGAATAAACCCTTTCCTTCCCAAGTTGGAATTGCTCAGAGTATTTTGTCACAGCAATGGAGAACCAAACTAGGACAAAAAACCACTTTGTGGAGGGACACGAAGGCAGGGTAATGGTGCTCCTGGCTGGTGATATTGCTAGGATATCATTGCAGTGGTAGTGAGGGGGCCTATTGCCATGGCCTTTTGATCAAGTTGTCTGAGCTAAATAACGAATGAAAATAACCCTTAGATCTCAGATATAAAGGGAATAAGCAAATACTGAAGCATAGCTAGGTCACCTGTCAGGACCAGACAATAACTTTCTGTTTCACTACAGATGTTTCATTCACACACTGTTATGTTTTTAGTCCCTTTGGGAGATTGTACAGCAAGTATAAGCTCTCTCTCTCTCTCCTCTCTCATCCATATACAAATTTTCTGTTTATTGTTCAAATGTGTCAGAAATTCAGCCCCGTCCACAATCTGACCCCTGTGGGTTTCACTGTGGGTTGAAAGCCTTCCAAGTGATTATTACAACCATGTATTGTCCATCCCAGGGTTACAAACATGACAATGACCATCATGAGTTGTCCTTCAGGGATAAGAAAGTCTCAAACACTCTAGAGCTTTCCACTGAAGGACTCATGAGAGATGGAATTTTCTGATATTGAATTTATTTTAAAATGTTTGCACTGTATTTGTTTTTAATTTACAATTGCCCTTAGGATTTTGATTCATTTATTCATTTCTTAAGTACCCGCTTATTTTGCCCTATCCCCCTATAGAGAGATGGTCACTTATGACATAATAATGAACAGTACAGTGGTTGATTCTTTCAAAGGCTTCTCTATCACGTAGTTTCAAAATCTGAAATGGAAACATAGACATTTTAGCTGCGTAAGACTGGTTGTTCCCACACTGGTCTCAGAAAGTAGTGACAATCCATTCATAACCCTCATTCATGGTTTCCATTTTCGCACTTGATAGCTCCCTTCTTGTGAGTGATGGCAGCCATTATTCCAAGTTCCTGCACCTGAGAAGATACCATGGGTCAGAAAGAAATGTCTGTTCGGAGTTCTGTCTTCTGTCATAGCCTGAAATGCTGAGTTGTTGTTTGGGGCATATCATATACTCTGATATGGTAGAGGATATGTTTACCAGAGATCCCAAATCAGTACAAACTGGATTTAAAGAAGTTTCTAGAACTTTTTGGTTTTAATAAATAACTTAATTCCTTCAAGTCTGTTCCCCTCTCCTTTGTAAACCAGGATCCAGCATTCCCAGGGTGGTCCTGAGAATCCGAGACTGTACAGCATATGCTCACGACGTGCCTTTCTTTTCAGGAGCACTAGTGGAGACTTCACAAGCATGAATAGAAACATCTCAACGTGGGCAACTGAAAACACAACAATGAATGGAAATGACATTCCACCTACACCCTGTGACATCATGAACCTTACCCTAGATTTTCTCATTCTCATCTTTGCAGTGGTTGGGCTGGCAGTTCATATTGTATATTCCCTAAAGCGTATCATTGACTCCTTCTACTCCATCTCCAACTCTAAACCCATCCCTGTCTTTATCCTCATTGTGTTCATCTTTGCTTACCTTGTTGGTCTGAGCATGCTCAGTGCCATTAGTGCTGAATGCGTTCATATTGTATATTCCCTGAAGAGTATTATTGACTCCTTCTACCCCGTCTCCAACTCTGAATCCATCCCTGTCTTTGTCTTCCTTGGGCTCATCTTTGCTTACCTTGTTAGTCTGAGCATGCTCAGTGCCATTAGTGCTGAGCGCTGCCTGTCTGTCCTGTGGCCCATCTGGTACCGCTGCCGACGCCCGAGACACGCATCGGCTGTCATCTGTGCTCTGCTCTGGGCCTTGTCTCTGCTTTTAAGCATCCTTGAAGGGAAAGGATGTGGCTTCCTGTTGCCCAGTTTTGACTATGATTGGTGTCGGGCATTTGATTTCATCACTGCTGCGTGGGTGATTGCTTTGTTTGTGGTTCTCTCTGGGTCCAGCCTGGTCCTGCTGGTCAGGATCTTCTACAGACCACATCGGATGCCTGTGACCAGGCTGTATGTGACCATTGCACTTACAGTGCTGGTCTTCCTGCTCCTTGGCCTGCCCTTTGGGATAGAATGGTTTCTTTTAGCATGGATTGAGGATTTTTATTTTTCACTCCCTTGTCATTTGTATGGGCTGACGAAATTCCTATCGTCTGTTAACAGCTGTGTCAACCCCATCATTTACTTCTTTGTGGGCTCCATTAGGCAACGCAGGTTCCAAGGTCGTCGCCCTCGTACTCTCAAGCTGATCTTGCAGAGAGCCATGCAGGACATTCCTGAGGAAGAAGAAGGTGAGACGGGTTCTTCAGAAAAGCCCGGAGAAGTGGAAACAGTGTGATGCAGCAGTTGAGAGCTGCTTTGCTCAGACAGAACTGGCTTTGAGAGTTAACTTTGCCCTTTTCAATGTATGTAACATTCATGACCTGGCTCAGCTGGTAGCCTGACCTGAAATCAGTAGGGACAATAATCATTTTTGTAGAACTTATGTAATACAGATCTTATTAAACAAATACTGCACTGTCTCTGGAACCACTTTACCCAGGGCTTTACCCCTGTGATATGACCCCTTGCAAAAATAACTCAGGGGTTCAGGACTTTTATAGTTGTTGGTAAATTCCTCTTAGAAGACTTAAAGGCAGTGCAGGAAAAGACTTAATTTCTTTGGTCACTGAACCTGATACTGCACAAATTTTCACATTTTAAGAACTTTTTAAAAATCAATATTAAAAGAGTTAAAAAAACAAGCCTTATAATCCCAGTCTCCTTTAATTTCAGCAGGATTTAGAATATCTCTTTATTTTAATAAATGTTCTTAAATAATTTAGTTATTAATCAAAATATATTTTAAAAACAAACATATACTAAATCTCCAGTCACCAGATTGGAGTCATCACCTGCAGTTTATTGTTTCCATCTTTTTCAACATTGGCAAGAATTAATCAGGATTTAGAGTCATATGCACCAATATCCATGTGTACTTAAGGTTAGGGGAAGCCTGCCCTCCCATGACTCCCTTCCATGTACTTTGGTTAGCATGCCCAGGGCTTGTCTTCCTCTTCTTCCTTTTCTGTGTGCCTTCATTTCCCCTCTCTTGGGAACTTTCCAGTGAGGTTCACTAGACTCAGTTCCCCTGTAATTGTACCTCTCTCATATTTATACTTTCCCGAGGGTTTCATAAGTGTTTATTACTTGAGTTATGTATGTTTAGTTACATTTGTTACAGGAAGATTTCGTCTTTATTTTTTAAATTGTTTTATTATTTTTATTTTATGTGTATGCGTGTATTGCTCACATGTAGGTAAGTGCGCCCATGTCGTGCAAAGATTTCATCTTTAAATGCTGCAGTATCTTGGTGATTCCAGCTGAAGTACAATTAAAAGATTCTGATACACAAATCAAAGGAAACAGTTCAACCAATTTGGTTAAGTGAATGTGGGTACTTGATTCCAAGCCCAATCAAGAATGAAAGTTTTAGACCAATATGAGTATCTATTGCACCTCCTGAGAACTTTGCTCAGAGGTCAATTCTGTTCATATTTTAGAAGACATTCAGAATGTAAATTGTAGGTGTACAACAAACTGTTATATGATACATATGTAATAAAATGAATGTTAGAGTTGAACTATCTAACATATCCATCTTCTCATGCAAATATCCATTTAAAATATTTTATTTATTATTTTTATTTTATGCGTACGTGTGTATTAGCTGCATGTACATAAGTGCACCCATGTCATGCAATGCCCATACAAGACAGAAGAGGCTGCCTGATCCCCTGGGACTGGAGTTACAAGCAGTTGTTAGCTGCCATGTGAGTGCTGGGAGTCGAACCCGGATGTTTTGCAAGAACCACCAGAGATTTGAAAGGCAGAACCATCCCTTCATCCCCCACAAATATCCATTTTTATTCATATGGGATCAGCCTTTGATTCATAAATCTCCTCAAAACAGTGCAATAATATTTCATACATATCTCATGTTTATATTAATTTTACTTCATCCTATTTGGTACGATATATTTTTGTCCTATGTTTCCCCATTTTCTGTCCCTTAGCACAAAGATTTGGTAATGAGCATCATGTTATATGTCTCTATATATTTACCCTTTAAGATATATTTCACATGTAAATGGGATTTTTATGGTATCTTTCTGCCTACATTTAGCTTATTTCATTTAGCATAATGTGATTTAAGTCTATATACATTGTGGGCAATGGCACGATCTTCTTTGCAATAGTTGATTAGCCATCTTGAAATTTGATTAATCATTTTAATAGTTGGCTGCCTGTTTTGTGATCTATTCCTCCAATGATTGATACCGAGGTTGGTACCAAAGCTTGAATATTGTGAATAATGTTTCAATAAACATGTAAAATTTTATTAATGGTGGAATGACATAATTGTTCATCATTTTGTTTAATTTGGTATTCCTTTTTTTAAGTTGTATTTGGTAAGAACATAAAGCTGTGTCTTTTTAATTTAAATGCCCTTAATTTGCTATGTGTTGATTGCACTGTTAGACCATGTATATTTAAGTATATATTTATGTAGATGGATTGATGTTTAACTTCAACTCTCTTCTTTTTGGCAACTTTCATTCTTTTCTTTTTTTAATGCTAGATATTGAGCACAAGTTCTTGTGCATGGTGGGGCAGCATTCTCTAATTGAGATATGCTTTCAGACCTCAACACTTTTTTTGCGTTCCAACCTATCTTTTCTTTGGTTTAAGCAAATATTTTACATAATTATATGCATTTTTCTAACTTAATGGTGAATAAAATTGCTTAGTTGTTAGAGGCATTTATGTATCTATGATCAATGCTCAGCTCCTAGAAGGTAGGAGGAGGCCCCCAAAACTAGTGTCCTCTGACCTCCACACATGCATTATGCATTTGCACACCTGGAACTCTCATGCATATACATTTACACAAAATAGATGATAAATATGTTAATAGAAATGTAAATATTCATTTATTCATTACCCTGAGTTTGTGATTTAAAATTTTTTTTGTTATTTTTAAAAAATATTTTATTATTTTTATTTTATGTGTATGAGTGTATT